TTCATTTTTTCCTCCGTCCCTCCCTCCCTGCCTTCCTTCCCTCTGTTTGCTTTTTGTTGTGGTTTTGCTGTTTAAAATGGTGTTCAAGTACAGTGCTGAAATAAGTCTCCCATTCCTAAGCATAGAAGGCCAAAATGCTTTGTGAAAAAAATGAAGCCTCTGTTAGCTAAGCTTCATTTAGGCATGAGTTACAGTGCTGTTAATCATGAGTTAAATGTTAATGAATCAATAATACAAGTGAAATTAGGTATCTTTAAACAAAAGCACGTACATTATGTACTGACTGTTTACTTGAAATGTTGTGACCATAGGCTTACAGAAACCTAACCTTTCATTTCCCCTAGGAGCAACGATTCACTATTCACTAATTCAGCATTTGTGGCCACTTTATAGAACACAAGTACTGTGAATTGGAAAAATTGATTGTATCTTGAAATAATGTAGTGAGACAGGGTATCATACCATAAAGAAATTTTGTGGATAACCATTAATTACAGAAAAGCTTTTAATATAATTAAATGCTTCTCTATAGTTAAACAAAACACAGATATTTATAGTAAAAATTAACACATGATAATGATATAAATTTTAAAGTCAACTAAATACTAACAATCCAATAATCACCTTTTGAAAAGGCATTCCTAAATGTTGGTCTTATTTTGGGAACAATTGTTTCGATAATTATTACTAGTTCTGTAGACTCTAATTGACCTAGGCATTCAATGACTGACTATTGAATATAGATTATTCGACTAAGTTAAAACTTTATAAATATGTAATGGAATAATATGAAAATAAAAATGGTTAACGAAGTCTAAATCGTCATTATCTGCATTCAAAATATGATAAACTTATAAAATGTATGTATATTAGAGCATTTATTTTCTTTATAACATTATTCTATATCATTTAACAAGGAGGGAGGATAAGTGGGAGGAAGAGGAGAAAAATAGCTACCATACATTGAATATTTATGAAGCAGACATTTTTTTCTCTCTCTTTGTATCTATGTATTATGCATATATAATATATATATACACACATACTGTATGTGTAAATATAAAATAAATAGGAATATGTATATTCCTATTTTGTCTAATTAGTCTCATAGTAAGTAAATATTAGTTACCCAGTTACACATATAAAGGTACTGGGGGCTACATGTGTTTAATTAGCAAGTTCAAAGTCACACAACTGGTGAGGAACAGAGCCCTTCAAAAGTGGATAGGCCTGACTCCTACTAAAGTAGTCCCTTTCTGTCTCTATATACAGCTTTTATCTTATAATATTCATTCTTGCTTAAATATCTCCATCTTTAACCCAACAAAGACAAGCAAACAAAATAATTATTTTACATCCACTCTTACTAACTGTTCTCTTTTCAGGATCAGTTTTATAATTTGTAATGTTTCACTACTCCCATATTCAACACTATGAATCAAGAAACGGCATTCATGAATATAAGGTAGGAACTGGCCTGAGTAGAGGGTATTTCAAAATAAAACTAATCATATATTTCTTTAAGAAAATAAAACATTAATTTGTTAGAATGGCTATGTATATTAAAAGCTATTTAAAGAAATACAAAGTATGATCAACTACAGAAAAGGACTCATTACAAATTCTTTAAATTATGAGTACCTCTGTATTCAGCAAAACTGATTACAAAACAAACCTTCAAACATAAACAGCAAACCTGTAGCAAGCAAATATTCTTCACTATACCTTGTAAACTTTTCAGATTCATTTGCTTAAAAAGGGTTTAGTATTATTTTTACTGCACATTGAAATTATAATATGTCTGATATATTGCGGTAATCAAATTTCTCTGTCAAACTGATTTCCCCTGTTTTCGTTATTTGTATGTGGCTACTAGAAAATGTAAAATTATATATGTGGCTTGCATTATATTTATTTTGGCAGCTCTGTTCTAAAGAATAGATTTAAAATAATATCAGGTAAATTAATGAAAAGCAACTGGATAACATAAATAAAATTTCATCTCTATACCATGGGGCACTAGCAGTTGTACCATTCACGTGGCTAGTAAGTTGGTACTGTTTGTCAGCTGAAAGCTCACTCAGGGCTTTGGCCAGGGGTGTTAGTTCTTCAAAAGGGCCTCTCCACTGGGTGGGCCAGTGGCACAATGTACAGAATGGGTTTTTCAAATTTTTAATATGTTCTATACATTATTTTATTTAAGTGAGAATTAATCCTCTGATTTATTGTTTCTAGTAAATGGGTGATTTCTCCCTCATTTTGTTAAAGGTAGGATTTCCACAAACCTCCAACCCCACTGGGAATCTTTCCAATATTTCAATGAAACAGGTTTTTGGCACTATGTTTTATCAATCCAGTGGGATTTTTAGTTCAAATATCACTGTATTGCTTTTATTTCAGTTGAAATTGTTCAGAGAAGACCAACATAGATGATCAAATGCAATTCTAAGGGCATCACAGTATAACAAATGTATTTGTTTTCTGGATTTGTGACAAGTAGCAAACTCTGTTTATAAATACAGATTGCACCACAGGTATTAGTGACACTCTTGTCACATCACATCACAGAGTTTCCACTGCGTAATTTTAGGGTGTCTTATTCTCAGTCTTTCTATACCTGTTTTTATAAGCGGAATGTGATTGGTTTTGTTATACTAAACCGAGACCCACAGCAAAACGTAAATTTTCCCAACCATTCATGCTCATCTTTGTTTACATAGGTATCTGAAGTGGCATACATGACAGAGATTTTCCAAAGAAAAATCTACTCCTCTCTTCCACTTCTTTTTTTTTTTTTTTTTTTTGGTTTTCTACAGTAAGAGAATATCTCAAAACATCAACAATAACCAATTTACTACCTTCTCTAAACTTTTATGGTGAATTAGGCACAGCTGAAATCAATGGAAATTCTCTCCTGCAGGGTTTCTCAGGGTTTGATTCTTCACACAAAGAATTTGCCAGGAAATATCATTTATGGCTTGGACTCTGCTGGAGGGTGTGATACCCTGCTGGGAGAATCTCTTGAAGGCTGAAGACCATTCCTACTGACTGGTTCTGTAGTAACTCAGAGGATAAATACACTACATGGTCTCAAGAGCCTCTGTCCAGATATGCAGAGAAGGGAGTTTGCAGCCACTGCCATCTCCCAATTAGAAACAGGTGTGTCTAGACTTTCACTAACAGCTCAGTTACTGTCCTTCACATTTTAGCGGTATGTGAGTGTTTGACAATTAAACCTCAAATTTAGACATATGATTACAATGGAAGACAGGGTGAAGTGGGAGGAATAATGATTTCTAGTCTTGGATTAAAAAATTTAACATATGTTGGAGTCTGTTAATGAAATCATGTAAGTTATTAATTTATAAGATAAATAAATTACCCACAGTAATACCAAATAAACAGAATCCCACAGACAATGAACACATTCAAACCTAAAATAGTCATTGACAAAGCTCATGAAAAGAACATAAAAAAAGGTTTCTACTTGTTCTCAAACACTGACAAAGAAATAGTCATATAAAAAAATAGTTATGCATATTGACTTACAGTCTGTGCAAATCCTGACCCTTCTACTTAAGAGCTGTGTGATCTTGAGCATGTCTCTTAATCTTTAAGGGTTTTAGAGTTCTCATTTGCAAAATAAGATATACACCAATACTCACCTCATGCAAGTGTTGTGAGGATTAAATGAATTTTTAAAGATCCGAGATGCTTAGAACACCGCTTGGAATTAAGTAAATGTGACATATGTTTTCTGTTGTTTTTTTTAATCCTCATCAGTGATTTTTATATTAGCCAGCATGTGACATAGCTGATAACTGCCTCTTAGAAATGTATATTTTCATTTAGAATCTAAATTATTACACTTCTTGATTCTCCTACTTGGCTTTTTCTTTCCAGTGTCCTTTACTGGTTCTTTCTCATCTTGTTGCAGTAACTTTAACACCAAATTTTCCAGGGTATCTAACTTTTTGATGTTCCTCAGGGGTCAGTCACTGGAATTTTTTTCTATCCATCATTGCCCACTTGATGATATCATACAGGCTTATGGTGTTAAACTTCCTCTACATGCTGACAACTCTCAAATATACATTGGCTAGGCATTTTTGACTGCACTACAAGAAGTACATATCCATTTCCTGAGGGTTGCAGGTAAAGGCCCCTAGGCGAAGGTAGGGGACCTGGGAGCTGGGCTACACAGCTCAGAAAGAGTTAGAAGCTGTCATTCAGACATGTTTTCTAAAAACTCTTGGCAATTACTTACTCTCAACATCCAAATTTGAATTTGTAGAAGAGAGAAGCAGAAACAGATTCTGAGAACTACAATTTGTATCATTTGAGGAACCTTAAAAAAAGAAAATAGGCTGGGTGTGGTGGCTCACGCCTGTAATCCTAGCGCTTTAGGAGGCTGAGGCTGGTGAATTGCCTGAGTTCAGGAGTTCCAGACTAGCCCAGGTGACATGATAAAACCACGTCTCTACTAAAATACAAAAATAAATAAATAAATAGGCATGGTGGTGTACACTTGTAATCCCAGTTACGTGGGAGACTGAGGCAGGAGAATTGCTTGAACCTGGGAGGTGGAGCTTGCAGTGAGCCTAGATCCTGCCATTGCACTCCAGCCTGGGAGACAGAGCAATACTCTGTCTCGAAAAATAAAATAAAATAATATAATATTACAAATACAAAGTTTTAAGAGAAGTGGTTGCACTTTAATCAGAAGTAGGCTGAAGCAATCTTCCAGCTCAGCATGACTCAGGTGGTTTGGAGTACAGGTGCACAACCCTGCACATTATGTAATGGCACCACACCTGAGATGCATTAGGTGATCACCCACATGAGCTCGTGCTTGGCTAGGAGCCACTATTGTCTCTAAAAGGTATATTACACTGGTAATGCAATACATATGGCTTACTTGCACCCAGAGAGAGGGAGTAAAGCCATTTCAAAACTGCCTATGATTCCTTGAGTGGTTTTTCCAGCTACCCACTACTCACCCACTGACTCCCCTCAGGCCTCAGTGACAATTGGTATCACAACCAGGATTCCGAGGTGAATGAGCCTTTGGTTCCTGCTGATTCTGGGTCAGCCATGTGGCTGCAACGTGGGTTGTGGTATCTGGTGACAGCTGTGCTGCTCAGATGGGCTCTGGTGGAAACCTGGTTGCTAGTAGATGGGTTTCCGGCAAGCATTGAGAAGGCACTGAAGCAGCTGGAAGCGCAGAGTAGCAAGAAGGAGCAAGGTTTTGCCAGAAGAGTTGGATGGGCATTTGTGACTTCACTGTAAGAAGTACACATCCAATCCATGAGGGATGCAGGTAAGGGCCCCTAGTCACAGGTAGGGACCTGGGGGCTGGGCTACACAGCTCAGAAAAAGAGTTAGAACCTGCCAGGAATGGGGACCTCCAAGCACAGGTGGGGCTCCTAAAGGCCCGGCTTCAGAGACTGGAAAAAGAATGAGAGGCTGCTGTGAGTGCAGGCCTGGGTCCATTGTCAAGGCCAGAGACCCCCACTCGATCTGATACTCAGGTGGAAGAACCCCCATTGAGGGTTCGCCTAGTGGTCCATCAGAAAGTAGATTATGAATGGTCACTGGGGCCCCAAGGACAGGCTCAGGGATCCCCCACCAGAACGCAGCACTTCGTACACTGTCTGTACCCCAGCTGAGTTGTATGAATTAGGCAGCAGTGAGGCCAGCATCCAGGGGAACCTCTGCCCACGTGGGTGCTTCGTTTGTGAGACAAGGGGAGCAGAGAGCATCTTCTGTTCCACCTCTGAGGTAGAAAAGCTGACCTCTATTATGACGCACTCCTCCCTCGTCAGCAGTTGCAGGTGAGCAGGCAGTTGCCATGAGGTGACCACACACTGATTGAGTGGCTACGGGCAGCCATACAGAGCGTGCGGAACGACGCCTGTGAAATCCCTGAAACCGTGAGTAAATGCAGTCATATGCTGATATGGTGCAAGTCATCCAGGGGATGGGTGTGCGGCCGGCTACATTCGACCTGAATACCCGGGGGCCAGGTGATGAACATTTTCTCTCCCACATGAGGCATCTTGTGTTTGCTTCTGTACCCCTGAGTGCCTTTGGCTCCCTAGCTGCTGTCCTTACCCCGTTCATGGGTGTACATACATGAAGTGTCAACTGCTATGTCTGGCAGCCCTCAGGGAGGCAGTAGACCATTGATGGGACTGGGGTTCACGCGGTAAAGAGGGGGAAGATGCCCCATCTATTCCGTTGGTTCTGTTTCTCTGAAAAAACATATTTTAAACACTCCTTTATAACAAAAAATTGTCCAGTACAAAATATTAATAATGCTGAGGCTGAGAAAATCTATACATTAAGGGCTCTAGGAAGCTGAATATCAGACTTTCTCAGAAATACAGCTATTTAGTGTATTTAATTCTTACAGGATTTTAATTAGCTTCTTCTGTGTGTTTTAGGTTATAAAGTTATTATATGCTTTCTTATAAATGAGATTTCCCTTTTCTGTGAAAATAAATTTTCTTGTTAAATTAACAGAATTCCTCTCTAACCCCCCAAAATTTTCTCACCTTATCTCATTATAAAAGTAGTCTTACTACACATAACTGAAATTTGAAGCAGAAGCACTTTTGTTACTTTTATTTTAAATGAGCAAATATTTATTGATAATTATGTGCACCATATTAAATAACAAAGAAAAATCAATGTTTCATCTTATCAGCTTAGACCTTAATTACATTATTTTCCATCTTTATGTTTCTTTTTTTCAGTTCTAAACAATTTTTCACTATATTTTTTTGTTCTTTATTGGGTACTATGTTTCTCATGCCAAGATTGGAAAAAATATATTTATATAATCAACATCTGTATTAGTCAATTTTCACAATGGTATGAAGACTACCTGAGACTGGGTAATTTTTAAACAAAAGAGTTTTAATAGACTCACAATTCTGCATGACTGGGGATCCCTCAGAAAATGTACAATCGTGGCAGAAGTTGAAGGGGAAGCAAAGAACATCTTACATGGTGGCAAGAGACAGACAGCAAGGATGGAACAGCTAGACACTTTTAAATCATCAGATCTTGTGAGAACCCACTCACTATCATAAGAACAGTATGGAGGATCCACACCCATGATCCAATAACCTCCCACCAGATCCTTCCCTTAACACATGGGGATTACAATTCTAGATGAGATTTGGGTGGGGACACAGAGCAAAACCATATTAACATCTAAAGTACTGAAATGCAAGAACTAGTCAGAGTTGTACTTTAGTAATGACATATATTAATTGCTATACAGAAGACAATAATGAGCATATAGTGTAAAAAATATATATCCTCCAAAATGTTTGAAATGTAGTCAAAAAACTAAACACCTCTTTAAGCACATGGAAAATTTATAATGATGTGGAAACAAAATGATAGTTGATAATGCTTCATTAAAATTATGCATCTTTTTAAAATAATTAATTTTGTCTTGAACTAGTGAGATTAATTTTTCTTACACATTGAATATCACTGCATTGGTCTTGTGGCTGTCAAATAGAAAACATTTCAGAAAGGAGAATTCTATATGGATCTTGTGCAAAAACTGCTTTTCAGACAAAGCCAGTAGCTTTTATTTGAACAGGTGTTCAAAGTTTTTCTTGCCACCTTTGCCTCCAGATTTTTGCTTTTACCTACATAATTTCTAACACCTTCAGTGTAATTATAAACATGCTCATTTAAAAGTGCACTCTTCCAATACAAAAGCAGTTTTTAAGTGTTACAGAACCAAAATAAGTAATCTTGCTTAGTATTGTGATATTTAAAAAAAATTTTGATAACTCTTGTTGAAAATATATTTAGTCCCCTGAGAAAGGGTTGTACTTTTTAAGTTTAACTAACATGACTTTAGAAATGTCTTTTGAAATAAAAATACTGTATTGATTGCAACTTTGAACAAAGGTCATTCTTATGCAACTTAAACACTGCTATCATATAAATGCATTTCTAGAAAATATAGAGTAAAACTACAATAAACTAAGTTAGGCATAAACATTCTTTATAAATGCAGATTTGCCTTTTCTGAATATTAGAACAAATATTTAGAAATGGAATCATTAAAAACAATTGTGCAGCATCAGAAAACTTCTCACAGTGTTTCCTATTTTTTTCTCTTCCTATTATAAATATGTGGACCTTCAGAAATTTCTATTTTCCCGAATTAAAATGTCAACATAAATTATGGTATATATTAATCATTATATAAGTTTGGAAGAAAATTAGACAACAATAATTGAATTAAATTAGTAAAACTTGGGAGAGGAAACAGAAACTTATATTGATTTGGTGCCAAATATGTGCCAGGGGTCTTGTAAGCCATATTAACACACATCAAAAATTACAGCTTTGTGGCTGTATCATTATGCCCATGCTTAGAAATGAGCTGTCTGGGATTCAGAGAGATTAGGTTATTTTCCCAATACACATAGTTAGTAAAAGCCTATAAAAGATTTTATCCAAGTCTGTCTGATCCTCAAATTTGACTCTTGCTGCTTATTAAAATAAAATTTTAGGTTTAGGAATAGTAGTCAACCTGAAAGAAGTGATCATTGTAGCAGTGTTAGTAATTGACAAAGGAGAAAAAAGGATAAAGAAAGAGACATAGCTAAAACTTATTAAGCATTTGCGGCATGCTAAGGGTTTTAAAAGGATTACTTTAATCCTCAAAACACTGACTTTCTATAGATAATGTTATTTTCCGTATCTTAATAGATAAACCATAAATAATGTTAGATTAGGTTCTCAACACAAATAGCTAATAAAAGATATAGTTCAGATTCAAATTGTCAAATTCTAATTTTAGAACCATTGTTGTTAACCACTTAACTGAGAATTTATTGTAGTTCGTGGCATCATAACTAAAAATTTATAACAAATAATTCCCCTCTGATATGGAATAAGATAAAAAATGAAATGAATAGGAAGAATCTTAAATGAACAAAACTAGCATAAAAAAATTACATATGCACTATTATTTCCACTACATCTAAATTCCTTATAAAGGAACAAAGTATGTAACACTGTTATTAATTATTGTTTCTGTATTCTCAAATTATTATTACTATTACTATTATTATTTGCTTTTGCATTTTAGTAGTTTCTAAAGACTCTTCAATTAGTATGTGTAACTTTATTATTTTCATTAGAAAATAAATAGTATTTTTAGAAACTTTTCAAAGCTGGGAAACCAATGGAGGAGAATATTTAATAATTTCTCCACATCAGTCTTTTTTTCTTTAAGCCTGAGAATAAAATTAGGGTAACTATTGTGAAATTATTATAACTTCCATGCTTAGAATAGGTAAATATAAAATATAAACAGGAAAAAAATTAGGTAAGCTTTAAAGAATACTTTTCTATGCATGTTTACAATTTAATACGTTTTTTTGTTGTTTATGTGTGAGCAACAGCAAAACCATTATATACGTTTTCATCTATAACTTCCAAGATAATGGTTACAATTTGAAGAGCTCTGTAATTTTTTTGCTGTATATATAATTTTTCTGCAGAAATGTACAATCAGCAAACACCATGAATTTATTCTTGTGTAGAGCAATAGCTTACGAGCGGTGGTTATGACAGGAACAGAACAATGAGAACACGTGGACACAGGGAGGGGAACATCACACACACACACACACACACACACACACACACACACACACACACACGGGAGCCTATCAGGAGATGGAGGGCAAGGGGAGGGAGAGCATTAGGACAAATACCTAATGCATGCTGGGTTTAAAACCTGGATCACAGGTTGACAGGTACAGCTAACCACCATGTGTACCAATGTAAAAAGCCTGCACATTCTCCACATGTATCCCAGAACATAAAGTTAAAAAAAACAAGAAGTAGTGGTTTGGGTATCCTTTAAATTCAGATCAAACTCCAATAGGGAGGTTTTCAACATGGGGTAATTTAAATAAAACATAGACTAGATAATTATTAATGAACAAAAAAGAATATGGGGCTTTATTCTACTTAAATTTTAATTTCAGATAGTGACCATATAGTAAAATAAATACAATATGGTGATAGAAAAATGAAGGAAAGACTGTACTGCTAAGAGGCACAATTGAAAGATACACTTAATGCATTTTATACTTAATGTATTATCCATTTTATATTGATGATGTGACTTCCTCGTAAATCATATAATTTGGCATTTAATGTAAATTTATCTAATACATTAAACTGATGATTATTCCCCTGACCATTTTTTAACTGATTCTAAAATAAAATTTCCAACTTAATCTAGAAACTTTCTATGTACTAATATTAGTAGACTACCAGAGGAGAAAATAAAAGAAAAAAATCAACCTTTTCAAAAGAGAGAAAAACAAAAAATAAAAAGACACAGAATTTGCCCTACACTAGCATATTCGCTGACAGAACTTTTCCACTAAAGGAAAGTACTAACTACAAAGCTATCAAAGAGCATTCCTTTTCTCACTTTCTGCCTCTTGAACTATATTTCCCTTATGTTCATCATTTGATTTCCCTTAGAAATTTGCAATTTGAAAAGTCTAGATCTTACCATTTAAAATCTTTCCAAACATTCATTGTCTTAATAATCTTAAGTTTTCTTCCTGGAAGGTAATCTAATTTTTTTTAACTTTTGGATCATTATTTTAGGTCCATTTTGGACTTGAGTGGCCTTTATTTGTGGTAATTTTCTATTTGGATGGATGAGTT